TTGCTTTTGTTTGATATACAGGTTTGTGATTTTTATTGTCCTGTTTGAATTTTTATCAATTGCGTAAATTAATTTTCTAGGTTTTGTTTAGCATTAAGTTAAACATATTATTTTTAATTGTGTTTCTTTATATGCCAACTTTAATTTACCTCACTGTCTGTAAAAATTGTTAATTTGGATGCACCACTATTATTGTTGTGTGTGCCACCGATCTTAAGGTGTTATTCCTAATAAATTGATTGATTGATTGATACAAGGGGAACAGTAATTGAAGTGAGAGGTGAGTCAAACAATTGGCAGAATGGCATTCTTGCCACAGTTGCTAAGAGACGTTGGTGACATGGGAGTAAAAATGACAGTATTATCATTCTGTTCTGGTAATCATTTCAAGGTCACAAAGAATATAGAATTCTAGTTGGGGTTTAAAAGATAAAAAGTTGTTTGTTGGCCAAAAAAAAATTGCATAGCTAACTGGGTGTTTGTTAGAGAAGGTATTGTAAAAGACATACCTGGCTAGGTGTTTGATTAGAGGGGGTACCTGTAAAAGACGTCCCTGGATAAGTGTTTGTTAGAGCTAGTACTTGTAAAAGACATAACCTGGCTAGGTGTTTGTTAGAGCAGTTTCTGTACTTGTAAAAGATATTCCTGGCTAGGTGTTTGATTAGAGGGGGTACTTGTAAAAGACATCCTTATCTAGGTGGTTGTTAGAGTGGGTACTTGTAAAAGACATACCTGGATAGGTGTTTGTTAGAGCGTTACTTGTAAAAGACATACCTGGCTAGGTGTTTGCACTCCTTGAAATTTTCTGCCAACATCATAATCTGTCCTGCGATTTCCAAAGTGATCAAGAGCATCCTATTAAATACATCAATTATATATTATACCAAATAAGTTTTCCAAATAAACTGAATTTGAATGTACTTACATGTAATGTGATGCAAGGGCTTCATACTAAAGTCCCTAAAAGTAACTTCTGTCTGTGCTATTCTATATTAACGGTCAATCTATTAACATTTTGAGTGTGCATTTCAGTTAAGGCATACCTTTGCTGTTTTGAATTCACCAGACTCCAATAGCCAACAACTTATACATGTACCAGTACGTCCTACAGAAACATATAATATTTCTTTATAAATTCCCAGCACAAAGTTATGCCTATGAGCATCTGATCATGCTCATGTTCATCACTGCTCAGGTCATGATCATCACTGCTCAGGTCATGATCATCACTGCTCAGCACATGCTCATCTTAGTGCAGTTCATGTGTCCGAGCTTTTTAATTACATAACCAAACTGTATTCAACATTCAAATTTACTTCAAATAAAACTAGTCAGTCAATAATTAATTAAAGAAATTTTTTTCCATTACAACATTGTTCATCCCTACAATCTACCTCGATCTTCCTAAACTGATTTGTACAATCTATTTTTTATCTTCCTACAACATTTATTTCGTACCAGGGTAGGACTGAATCATTTCAATTTTTTTAAATTTTATCAGTCACTGATAAGAAGCAGTCTCATCCAATTTTAATTGTATCAGTCACTGATAAGAAGCAGTTTATGCCAATTCACCCCAACACTAGAGTATCAGACAGCTTAGCTCCCTTTCAGCCTCATCTAACTGAGAAAAACACTCAATACATGATGAAGTATATTGACAAAACTTCACATTTCAATTGTGCCTGCCAAAAAGTTCCAAAAAAGACAAAAACACTGATGTACCTTTGCCTCCTTTGCAGTGTACTACAATAACATTTTTAGCATCTTTTTCTATCCATTCTTTGGCATTTGCTGTAAATTTTTGAAGTTCTCTGAAAAACAAAAAAAATTAATTTTTTCATAAGAAAATTTCATAAAACCTGTCACAGCAGGAATATAATTTAAGGGCATACTTTTAGTAAAGG